CTTCCAATACACATGTGTTAAGCCTCTGTTTGACTGAATGTAGGTATATGTGCTAAGAGAAGATAGTAGACTGTATTTAGGTGTCTCCTCTATATTTTTTTTGTACACATTTCCACACAAATAGATTCATTTATCAGAAGTGTATTCATTTAGCTTTCAAGCATGACCATTTTCTTCTTCTTGGGATTTCTGCGATTCTTTGTGTTTTCGCTAAAAGTTTTTCATTTATTTTTCCTAAACCTGTGCTCACGGCAAATGGCTCTTGTGTACATTTCGTTTTTTGTGTTTCTTCTTGTTTTCTAACTTGAGGCCTCATAACTACACATTAACCTTTTGAATATGCGAGTCATTCTGGGAAACACAGTCCCTTAATCCTAAGTAAATAGTAATAAAGCAGCTTGTGTGCAGCTCAGTGTGAACGAGTGCACTGACTGATGGATATTAGTGACAGTCTGTCACACACGAGGCACATTAAACTCACTAACTTCTGGTTCTTTCTAACTGTGGAGGATATCACCGGTATCATTAACCAGCAGCTATTTTTAGAGCAATTAGCATGTTGCTAACAATGTCGTTTTTCCGACAGACCTGAGAGCAGCCCGAGGGTTTGAGTGCAGCAGCCTTTGTTTTCTGGTTTGAACTCTTAAATTAGACCTGTTGAAGAGGCACTTTAGAAAGAAACAAGGTTGTGAGATTGCTGCTTGAGTAACTTAAATGTTTTTAAATGACAACATCAACCGTAGCTGGAGTTACTTATTAGGATTATTTTCCTCGGTCCGCCCACTGACCCTCATCCTCCCAGTGTCAGTGCAACATTTATGAGCAAAGCCACCTTGAAGTGGAACCAGGAACCAGTGTTGGAAGAAGTAGCCAGAGCTTTAACTTACTCAAAAGAAGTACTATATTCAGGGTCAGCTTCTTCCCCAGGGCTGTTACCCTGCTGAACTCTGCCCGCTGATAGACTCAAGCCCATACCACCACCCACCTGTTTATATATTTTACTGTCAATGCCGTTTACACTGTATATATTCATCTGTTTATAGCCTATTTATAATTATTCTATTAATAAAAATTCCATGTATAATTATTCTCATTATGTAGACTCCTGCACTGCTATTTTGCACTTCTGGTCAGATGCCTAAACTTACATTTCGTCACTAGTACATGTGCTATGTAATGACAATAAAGTTGAATCTGAATCTGATATTCACAGTGTATCAAATCAAATCAAGTTTTATTTATATAGCACATTTTTAAAATGAGTTTTGGTCGAGCCAAAGTGCTGTACATACAATAAAAACACTTTACAATAAAAACACTTTACAATAAAAACACTTTACAACAAATATAACAGCAAAAAAATAAATAAATCACACACAGGGAAATGTCAGTCGTGCTCCGCCAGAAGGCCAGAGGGAAGAAGTGAGTTTTAAGTGTCGATTTAAAAACCCCTAGGGTCTGGGCCGACCTCACATGGAGGGGCAGAGTGTTCCAGAGCCTGGGGCCAGTGTATAAATACATTGTTACACATGTGCTTCTAAATTTGGGATTTTCTCTTACTAGTTTTTTGTACTGTTTTTACGTCTGTGGCTTCTGATCTGGTTTCATCGTCTCGTGTTTTACATTTGTTTCATGTCCCGTCTGTTTTTCATTATGCTATGTTTTTATACAGTTGTTGATGTACAGCACTTTGTTAAACTCTGTTGTTTTTAAATGTGCTGTAGAAATCAAATGGATTGGATTGTTACCCAACAAGGAATGCATTTAAAATCTTAGTAAAATAGACAGTTTAAACGACTAAGATCTTCAAAGTGTATCGTAAAAATATGACTGGATAAAAGGCCAATTTATGAAACAATATGCATCGCCATTACAGGAGACCAAATGAAACGTTAGTTAATGCAGATTTCTCCATGTTTAAAATGTGTTTGATTGAGTGGTATCATGTCAACTCAACAACATGTGTAAAATACGTCTAGTTTACTATAGAGATTTTAAGGAAGAGATGTTGATCTTATATCGTTGTGTTTTTGGATTACCCAGCTTTGACAGCAAAACGTAAAGTGAATTTATGGCGCATGCACATACGAACAAAACCGACCATTACCGATTAACATTAAAAAAATATATACATTTAAAAGAATGTAAGGACACAACTCGACAGCACATTTTAAATAGTTCCAGTTGTTTTTAGACATGTTCAGGCAGACATGTTTCATATTATATCGTTGTGGTAAGGAGCCCCCAGTTTGGTAATCCAGCCTCGACTTCAAAACACAAAATGAAGGATGTGTCGGCGTCTGCAGCCTCCAGCATCGTGCCTCTGTGTGTTGTGTGTTGTTTTGTTTGTGTTGTTCCTGAGCTTGTTGGGTGTCGGCTGAGTCTTTCTGCTTCACATTAATGAGATCTCAATCAGGCCAGAGGGGTTTAACTAATTACACCTGACGAGATAACACAGGTCTTTATTACCGCTACAAACCATGAGAATTGGTCTTGCTTATAATTAGACCTACCTCTGCTTACTGCTTAATATTGACTATGGATTTATAGTTTCAACCACTTTACATACAAACATCTTCACGTGGCAACTTCTTAAATGTGAGGATTTGCTGCTTTTTTCTGTGTGTATCATCCAAGTGAAAACCTTCATGTGTAATTTCACTGACCAACCAAATGACTTTTCAATTAATAACTCAGTACATTATTTAGAAAATAGCTGCAGAAATGTACATATTTTATACACTTTTATACGCTTTCATATCAAAATTCTCACAACATTTTAATGAAAACACGTGCAAAGTTATGATATATGTTTATTACTCTTATAACATTTAAATAACTACACCTTTGAATGATTCATGCTCTGTTATGCTAAAATGCAACTATTTATGAATGACATCCATGGTTCCCTTTATAACCAACACTGATCATATTTCAAATAATTGCACACCTTTGAATTTAAAAGCTGTGGTTGAAATTAAAGTGACATTTAGGATAAAGCAATCCTCCGAGCCGTCGTTACATGAAGTCCGTCTGTTTATCCTCCTTCCTTGGATGGATACGCTTCGTGGTCACAGTTCACGGTGTTCTGCGCTCAAACAGTGACGGTGGCATTCAATGTAAGGCGGATTTAAGTTAATGAGGTTAAAAAGATCCCTTTTATTCCGAGTGAATGGGAAGTTATTGTGAGGAATTCCTGTGGGATGACAAAGCGAGCCGAGCTGTAGGAGAGTCCAGGATCTGAAGGTTAACTGTACTCTGAGAGACAGGACAAACTCTGTCCCTGCGTACACAACCAGACTTATTCAACAAATGGACACATGTTTTCTAAATTCACTTTTGTTTCTTCTTTCTTTCACGGTCAGATCGCAGACGGCGCTCTAGGAGTCCTTGAAAGCGAGCACAGTTGACATACCTTCTAACGTTTCTGAGTCTTCTGACACTAAAATGGCATTTTCCAGAGGGACAAATCAGTAGAAAAACATTGTTTATTGTGGCCAGTTTGCCTGATTTGTCTAGCGATCTGGCAACACAGAGCGTGTGCATTTAAACTCTGTCAACATTTGTAGGTTTACTTCAACTAACGCTTGTGAACGCCCTATATCTAACCAGAACTCATAATGCTAAATATGTTTGTTAGCTCTGTTAATATCGAATATTGGCTTTTTTTTAATATAAATACATAACGTATACCTTTTTAATGCAATTGATACCAGTTGTAATGTGTTCTCTTTAGTTCGAGAGCATCTTTGGCCAGATCTCATTCCCAAGTAAAATAAATCATCCACCATCTTAGTGTTTTTTTTTCGTAATACCCAATAATCTGAGTTATGAGAAAGTTGATCTGATTTATGAGAAACAGTTTTTATTCAAAGAGACCTTTAGGAACACTGTATCAGCTGAAGCTAAAATAAGATTCTTATTTTTAAATCCTACCTTAGTGAGAGAATTATAAATAACAAGCACAAGATTGTTCATAATTATCAGGTCCTACCTTATAATAAAAGTAAAGAAAGTTTCTGATTCCCTTTCTCCATATTTGTTTTTGTGAATATTCATGTTTTTTTTAATTATGCGATTTAGACTCTTTTCCTTATCGCCAGTAATCGAGAATGCCTTTCTGTTTTTTTCTGATGCGTCACTGACCTCGCTGACTTCCATTTAATTTAGTATTCATTTCAACCTGTGACACACAGCACCACGTCAACAAACATGAGAACGTGCAGGTCTACCAGGGTGTCATGTTCCCATTACGGCTATAAAAACAGTGACTACTTGAACTTAATGAATGCTAATTGTAGTCTTGTTCCCTGGAGACAAAAAACAGATGTTAATGAATGTAGTGGGGTTTTATCCAGTAACAAAAGAAGTGTAGCGAGCAGACACATTATCAGTATGATGTGATATTAATGGACAACAAAATTGTGTGGCCCTAAATGGACTTCCTTACAAACCTATAAAGCAGGGGTGTCCAAACTACGGCCCGTGGGCCAAATGCGCCCCGCGGACCATTTTGAATCGGTCCTCACTCAGCCAAATATATATGTTCAAATATATTACGCAGTATTCATGTGTTAATGAGCCCAATTTTCAAATAAATTCAGTCAATTAAAGTTGAAAACATCTTCTTGCAAATCTTACGTTGATAAGAAAAAAGCCCAGTAACAAATGTACATAGCAACCTTGAAATACACCCTTTATATTCCCTCTTATTATAATCAATCTGAAGCTTCTGATTTTAGGAATGAGCAATAATTGAAACCCTCTGGAGAGCTGTGAGCTGTTTTTCTCTTGCAGCATTTTCAAGTATCAAGAATAATTGACCTACTTTGGATTGACTTTTCCAACTTATAACTTAACTTATGAGGCAGTATACCTCACCTCTAGTGAGCGGCCCAGCCTTTCGTATATTTTTCTATATGTGGCCCTCGTGAAAAAGGTGTGGACACCCCTGCTATAAATAATCCACGGGTATTAAATTGTTCTGCCTTCTGTTCCAGATTAACACGAATGGATTTGTGTCCACGGTGGAGCCCGAGGCCGAGGAGGAGTACCTCGGGAAGATGCCCTCCAATTTCAAAATGATTGCGGCCCTGCTGGGGGACCTGGAGGACAGCGACGGACAGGGGAGGGTCCTCTTCAGGTGGGACAGCAGCCCGGAGGTCCTGAATAAATCTGCAGAGCACATCAGGAGAGCTTTCCCCAGAGACGAGGGAGTGGATCCCATCACCGTCTTCATCGTCACGTGGGAGAACATGGCCGCCCGGGGGACGTCTGGACGAGGAGACCGACTGGACACCAAGGTGAGGGGCTGTTATATTTATTATTAGTCAACATGTCGGATTTTAATAATTATAACAAAGACATGCAAAACAAAAACAAACAAAAAACGTTCAAGTTACCAAAACAATTCTCAAATAGTCTCTGTCATGTTCAACAGGGGCAAGAAGAAGCTTAAAAACACTTTCTGGTCCTCCCCCCTCTAGCGTACATTTTTCTGATTTCATCAAGCAGACAGCATTTGAATCCTGTAGTTAAGTCTTGGGAAACGAGTGTCATAGATATGCAGAGTTAGAGGAAGTATTCAGATCATTTACTGCAATACAAGTACTATAACCACAGCATGAAAAAAACCCACTCCAAATAAAAGTACTGCAGTCAAAACCTTGTTTAAGTATGAAAATACTCTAACTCAGTGGTTCTCAACTGGTCAGGCCTCGGGACCCACTTGTTCCTTTGTCAATAAATCACGACCCGAAATTTGAACCACTCAAATCTATTCAACAAAAGATCGTGCTGTAATATATATATACGCTTTTTAGCATACAATATTAATTAAAGTGAATTACAGTGGATATATCTCTTCACAGAACTAAAGTATTCTTTAAAAAAGGTTTAATGAGATGATGGAATCAAAGCTGAACTGTATAACATCAAAAGGCCCACATGCTGAAAACCCAACCCCAGCAGGGGGGTCAGGGGGGATTCTCCCCCAGGAGATTTTTAGAAATACTAACATATAAACTACGGATTCTGGTACACTCTGAGAAGAAAATAAATACATCTATTACTACCCGACATATTAATAATATTTTATGCCATTGTTTGTTTTTCACTTTGTTCTGACAGCTGAACTTGTCTGTGTGAATTACTTTGTGGGTAAGGGTAGATAGCCCCCATTGTTCTGTGACCTGTCAATCATCAAACCGGGGGTCATATTTCATTACGTGTTCATTTCTATCTGAAGTTGTACCCATGGATGTATAAAGAATAGTTCTACCGCAAAGTTATTCTCCGTGGGGACTTCCGGCAACAATCTTGATTCTGATTGGCCAGAAGATGATCACTACGTGACAGAAGTTTTCAAAACCGTTTATGGTCTCCGGTACTTCCAGTCCAACGCCGACTGCATGCACAGCGTTAGAAAATCGGGCCTTCAGAATAAAAGTTTGATTTTTTTTCTTCACTCACACAATTGCGACCCACTCGAAACGGGTCCGCGACCCACTTTTGGCTGGCGACCCACCAGTTGAGAACCACTGCTCTAACTCATGCATCAAAAAACTTAAAGGAACTCTAAAAAACATGCTGCTATACTAATGCTAGGAATAACGAACACAAAACCGTTAAAAATGTCTAAGTATTTAATATAATACATGAAGTATGAAGAGTAAAATGTACCCTATCAGTGTTTTACTATTATATGATCTTTCTAAACTACTATGACTGCAGTTTTAGTATGTATGTTGCATTTTACTGCTGTAGACGTTTAAGGTTTTGATGATTTTAACTTCTTTATATACTGTTGGGTAGTTTAATCTACAGAAATGCATCATATTCTATACAAATCATAATATCTTTGTAGTACAAGTATCATAAATATAGAATTTTCTATAAGAGGGCGGTTGAAGATTGCATCAGATTGTACAGGCGAGTCATCCTATAAGACGTAGGAGTAACACGAATATATACGCAACTCTCCTCATTATAAGTGATTTGGATGAAAGTTCCCAAATGCAAATAATAGGTGAGGATCTTTATCACAGAAATGTCCGATATAACTTCATGCTACAGTTTACTCTCATGGGATCTAGGGGTAATTACCTCTAGTGTACATCAAGATAAGCAGAGTCAGCGTTTGATGTAAAGAAAATACAACACAAACAAACACAGGAAACACAAAAGTAGGCAAAGATTGAAGATTATTGTGCGGCATTTCCATTTTTGTCCTAAACGATTATATATTTTAATACAGCAGCTCAAAAAATGACCATTATTACAAAGTATGAAATGCCAGAGGCCTTTTGCACTTCATGTTTGAGGCTCATAACATCTACCTCAGACCTGAGTATGTCAATATGCAAAGAGAAATACTCCAAAAGTAAGTCCATCTCAGAATAAAGTACAATACCATATGTGTTTTTCTTTCTTGGAGGGACATTGTTAAAAGCACAAAATAATGGACTTTGCAGAGGGAACACCATGATGTCCTAATTCATTGTCTTCCTGTCTATCACTTTTTATTAAAATGTACATATTATACAGGTGTTCATGCTATCATGTCCTCTCCATGATTGCTTTTACTCACACTCTGACCTTTAGCCTTTACCTGCTAAATGTCCTTCACGCAGAGTTTTCCAGCTGGTCAATTATCCTCTCTAACACGCACAGCCAGTGAGGAATCCAGATTAATTTCCCCTGTTAACAACACCTCCTTTGTTCTTTCAGAGAAACACTTTCCAGCTGGTTGTGGCCACAATGGAGTTGTCTTCCTGCGCCATCCTCTTGTACCCCCGAGACGGCATGCAGTTCCTCTCCACGCCAGTAGGGGGCGAGAATAAGATCCTTGAGGCGGGATTCAATGAAGGACTGGTGGACGGCTGGTTCTGGAAAGCATCAATGGGAACGTACTTCCGCACCACCACCGATGAAGAGAGCTCCATCAGCGAACTCACTGAGTATGAATCTGATGTTATTTGAGCTTCTATAAGGCCAAGATACTTTTTTCATGTATATTTTTCCTCTACAAAAAAAACAGTTCTCTAAAGGTTCAAGGCTTTTAATAGCCGCGTTCACACACTAAGTACTTTGCCGTACTTAGTTCCCAGCACTTAGTTCCCAGCACTCAGTTCCCCTATGGAACTAAGAGCCGACCGCGTTCACACCGGAATAAGTTCCCTGAGGGAAGATTACGCAAATGAGCCGCTGGCGTCACTTCGTCTTCTTCTGCTTTGGGTTTACTGGCAGGCCGCAAACAACTTCACGGCGTATACTGCCGCCCGAAGTCCCCGGCCGGAAGTCCCCGGAGTTGGGGACTGGCTTCTACTGAAGCCTTCTGAGTAAATCGCCAGAACGCTGACACCTCCTCATCTCCACCGCTCCCATGTTTTCTTTTGTGTTGCCATAATTTAGTCTCTCTGCGTTTGTGTGCTGGGTGAATGCTAATGCTAATAATGTTAATGCGAGGATAATAAAATGGCGGCTCTACAAAACATTTCAGAGTTTTACGGGGCGTGGTTTGCAATTCGCCCAGCCAATCAGAACACTGTTTTCCCCCCAGGAGAGTACCACCTCTCAGCAGGCACTAAAAATGGGGGTAAAAGTTCCCGGTACTAAGTGCTCTTTTTGGTGTGAACGTGACATAAGGGGTACTAACGGAACTAAACGGGAAAAGTACGGGGAAAAGTACTCCGGTGTGAACGCGCCTATTGTCATTTGTACATAGCTACAGTGTAGTTATGACAATGACTATCAGTCTTAAGTCACAGGCTCCTCCAACAGTGCAACACAATAAAACAGATAATAGTGCAAGTAAATGAAATAAAATAAAATAGAATATAATTGAAATTGTGCAGAATAGTCTATATACAAGTCATTTGAATATTGATATAAATATATATAAGTTGCAAACAGTTCAGGTGTTTAACGGGTGCAGGGGGGAATTTTGAAAATACCATCAAATGTGCAGATTGTTCAAAGCTCTGGTCACTGGAAATGAAAGAGCAAACATCTCCATACAAGTGTAGACGAGGCCTAAAAGATACACAACATTCATTTATATGCTATGACAATGATTTCATCAACTTGGGAAGTGGCTTCTCATTGATATTTCCTTTATCCAACCAGAAAAACCAACTCAGGACAGAAAGGAGTTTGGGTGTACGAGATCGGCTCCTCGCCATTCTTTGTCGCCATTACACCCGGAGTGACCCCCGAGGACGAAGAGGCCATCGAACCTCAATCAACCGTGTTGCCAAGGCAAACTGAGGAATCCCAGGTGGAGGAGATCCCAACTGCCAATGAATACCAACCCATTTACCCAGAAAGTGAGACTGACGAGCCAGATTATGAGCCAGACTTTGAGACTGTCACACCAGAATACACCGACTTCGAGAGGGCTGAACCAAGATACCCAGAACCATCTGAACCAAGATACCCAGAACCATCTGAACCAAGATACCCAGAACCATCTGAACCAAGATACCCTGAACCATCTGAACCAAGATACCCTGAACCATCTGAACCAAGATACCCAGAACCATCTGAACCAAGTTACCCTGAACCATCTGAACCAAGATACCCAGAACCATCTGAACCAAGTTACCCTGAACCATCTGAACCAAGATACCCAGAACCATCTGAACCAAGATACCCTGAACCATCTGAACCAAGATACCCTGAACCATCTGAACCAAGATACCCAGAACCAGTTGAGTCGAGGTACCCAGAACCAGTCCAACCAGTACCCCCCTATAATCGACCCCAGCAACCCCAGATCGTCGTGGTTGACGAAGACGAAGATCTCAATGTGAATGGTAAATCAGAAAAGCAAAAAGAAAAAGTATATCTTGAGTATTTCTAACGTGTTTTGCTTGGGTAATCCTAAAGTTATTGAGTTAGAGACGAAGATCTCAATGTCAACGGTAAATCACAAAAGCTAAAATAAAAGTGTATTCCTCCTGTTTTTGTCTTCCGTCATCCTGTCAAAGTTCTTCAGTTAATTCATTGAACACGATTGGTTTGTCCTCTGGTTGTTTTTCACAGTATTTTCGTACAATTCGGAGACCTGCGCCCACAACCAGCAAACATGCTCGGCCTTCGCTGACTGTCGGGATTACAGCCAAGGGTACTGCTGCCAGTGTAAACCTGGTTACTATGGAAATGGAAAGGACTGTGTAGCAGAAGGTGAGAAGCATTTCTGTTTTCTTGGATGTTTATGAAGTGACTGTAAAGATGTAGCGGGTTGTACTCAACACACATCACAAATCTGATTGACCTGATGTTGATAGTTTTGTGTCAACATCATGTTTTGTTATCTTGGGGTTTTTTCTTAACCTATTCTAAGCAGAACCAGTATCTGCTAAATCTACTTCGGGTTGATATTTGTCCACAAAGATGGAGATATCTTTCATTTTTGGCAACAATAGTAACCATCTAAGTCAGTGGTTCCCAACCTGGGGGGTGCTCCCCCCTTGGGGGGTCGCCAAAGATCACAGGGGGCGCCAGGCCTCAGATGATTTGAGGCCAAATATCATATTTAAATTTTTATTTTTTTACATATAATTGTAACGCAATACATGATTGTCACTAAAAGCCTTGTCTCTACATTACAATAAAAAATAATAATAATTGATTAATTAATTTGAATACAAATTCAAGTTAGCTATTATATAAAAAGACAGAAATGTATAATTCTTTCTTTAATAGAAATGTTTCTTCTGCCCGTAAAGTGTCCAAACCAGGCTTGTCTGGATAAGCGCATTTTTAAAACATAGTCATTGTCCATGCCGGTTTCAGTTGGATTATTTGTCACAGTTGCTCCGATCAGATCGGTCTCCTCCATTTTGTAGATTATTTACTTTTGAATACACATCGGCAAAATCCGGTTTACTTTGAGCATGTGTTTTAAACAGTTTAATCCCTTGGTGAATTGTTTCCACTTGCGCCGTCCTTTAATTTCTTCATACAGCGGGAATCCAAATGAATTAATCCTGAGTCCAATAACCCCCCCCCTTGTGTGTGTGTATGTGGGAGGGGGGGGCGCAACTTCCAACAGGAGTCATTTGGGGGGGCTCTTGGGAAAAAAGGTTGGGAACCACTGATCTAAGTAACCCTTACAACCCTAAAAGTATCTTAGGGAATATGGACTGAAATCACCAAGTTCAATGTTTTGTAAGAAACACTGATTAAAATAGGATATCGAAACCGAACCTAACCAAGGGGAAAGTCTCTGATCCTCTACTTGAATCTTATCAAGTCTTTGTTTTTTTTCCAGGAAAGCCACAGAGAATGAATGGAAAGGTGAACGGTCGAGTGTTCATTGGGAACTCGGCTACACCCATTGAGCTCAGTAACAACGACTTGCATTCGTACGTGGTAACAAATGACGGACGGGCCTACGTGGCCATCAGCAACATCCCAGCCGGTATCGGTCCCTCCTTGCAGCCGCTGTCCTCTCTCGGAGGAGTCATCGGCTGGGCCTTCGCTTTGGAGCAGCCCGGGTACCAGAACGGATTCAGTCTCATCGGTAAGAGGATGTATTGTTGTGTAAAATGCAATTTCAAAGTCAAAGTCAACTTTATTGTCAATCTTTCAGTTTGTGTGTACAGACAGAGAGATCGAAATACCGAATACAAAAATAGAAATATATACAGACAGACACATTTATACATATGCACACATTAAGATAAAAGCACAACACTCAATACATACAAAAGAACAGTCACTTAAATATCTTTGGAAATATACATTAGTGCAAGATTGTCCATAGCAGCGTAAAAAGTGTCTGGAGCAAGATGCTTGGTTGTTAACCGTCCACATTGCTGGCTTTATTCAAAATGATTTGAATGAGTTATATTGATGATTGATTGAATGTGTTTGTTTAAAAGTTGGGTGACCATGAATCAGAATGTCCTTTGCTTAAAGTTTGGACAAAGACCGTTGTTTTCAGAATTGTATGTTGTCTAATCTTGAAGAACTCTGTTAAGAAACTCATGTTTATGCACATGTATTACTTGCATATATATTCATTTAACAATGTTCCTGGTAAATAATCGTGTGTATGAGGCTCACTGGCAGCGAATGTAGGGGATTACTTTAGTTGTTGTTAGATGTTTGTTTGTCTTTTTTGTAATTCTTCTTTCTCTTTGTACATACAATCATTACAGACCATTTGTATTCCTATATTTTGCTTTCCTTTTCGAAAACGCTATAAAAAATGTTTGATCAGAAGAAACTCATGTTTTCTTACATGTCCATGCAGGAGGTGTGTTTTCCCGGCAGGCCGAGGTGATCTTCCACCCTGGGAACGAGCGTCTGAACATCAGGCAGCAGTTCAAAGGGATCGATGAGCACGACCACCTGGTGGTGAGCACCGAGCTGGAGGGGCGTCTGCCCGACATCCCGCTGGGGTCCTCCGTCCAGATCAACCCGTACAAGGAGATCTACCAGTACGACAGAAACTGTAAGGATCATTAACAACCAGAACACAATCAAATCCAACTTTAGACAAAACCGATAGGACAAAAAAAACTAATGTAAAAGCACGAGACAATAAAACCTATAGCCACAGACTGAAAAGCTCTCATACACAATGTAAAAACATTTTAAAACACAACAAAATAGAAAACCCCAATTTAGAAAACTGATACGTCTTATACGTGGTCTGCAAAAGAACGGGGGAACAAGTAGGTTTTTAAACGAGATTTAAAAACAGGCAAAGTGGGAGCAAGTCTGATTGGGGGGCACTGAAGCAGCTTCAAAATGTTGAAGTTTGGTCATTGATTTTGCATTAAAACTGTTAAAGGTGTCCTCTCATGCAAAATGATGTCTTTTATACATAAATATGTGTCCCCGGTGGTGTGTCAGGGAACTCACAAAGTGTCAGAAAACAAAACTCTCTCTTTTCCTCCGTACCCATATCTCTAAAAACGATATGACGTAAAAAACACATCATAGATATATATATTTTTTTACATCTGATTCCCATAATATAGGCCTAAAAATAGCATGATAGGAGATCTCTAAATGATTGAAGAAGCTCATTATATAGACCTCTTGATTGTCTATGACTGGTACTGTCTGCATAATATTTACATGTTTTCTTCTTCTGTCTCTTCTCCTAGTGATCACTTCCTCCTCCAACCGCGACTACACCATCACCTCGTCTGAAGACAACACTCAGACCAGAAGCTACCAGTGGCGTCAGACCATCACCTTCCCGAGCTGCGTGCACGACGAGGCCAGCAGGGCGGCGATGTCCACGCAGCAGCTCAGCGTGGACCAGATCTTTGTGATGTTCGATCCCGAGAACAATCTGATCCGCTACGCCATGAGCAACAAGATCGGCTCCGTCCACAGTGAGTCCTAATCTACTGTGGAAATGTTTAAAATTGATAAAGTAATCCAAAAATGTAGGATGCCAGGTAATGTTTAATGGACATTTAGCCCAAAGCACAACTGTGTCGAAGTACAACCTTCCTTGTACAACCTTCAGCAGCTAGCAACAACGTAGCATAGCAGAAGACAAGTAGTCATATCATCATTATTTGTTGCAAAACACAAATTTGTAGTTATTTAAAAAAAGCAGCATTTTTAAAGCTTCTCAATGTCACATCATCTGTGTCGTATCGCCGCAACATTTGAATGCACATTTGACAAAAAAGTAAGGTGTTTTGCTTTTGTGGAAACATCGCTTATTGACGATTGGTTAAAACCAAGGGAGATGATTCCTGATGCAAATGATCTACAACATCCAGCGCTGGTTACGACACGAGTGTGTGTGAAGCATTTTTTTAAATATCAGAAGCGTGTATCCACATAGGAGGGTGCAGGTTCTTCTAGAAGAGCATCCATGTCTCCTGGTTGTCTGTCAGGGACCATCGTACTACAAAGACGTGTGTTATTACCCCGAGGAATGCACTGAAACACGCCTCCGACAGTTTAGTACCCCGGCCATGTGTGCAGTGGGACATCACAGGAAGACAAACAGTAATCTGAGCCCGGCTGTATTTCCTCAGCTGCAATCAGAGGAGGCTGCAGAGCGTTGGCAGGGGGTGAAGGTCAACGAGATACCAACCTCCAGGACACAGCAGGGGGAGGAGCGGGGGAAGGGTATCACCAGGGTCCTTCTTCTGCTTTTAAATAAAAAAGGGGGGGTTTTAGAGGTAAAAGTGCATACAAGGGGCTGTTGGTGGGATGCTCGGGGGTTCAGAGTTACACAAGCAAACACAACTCAGCCGGGGATTGTTGGCAAAAAGAGGAACATCTGTGTCGTGTTTCCTATAGGGAGGTGAAGGTCTGGAGCTGCAACACACAGCTGCATGATGGGAATACAGGAACACAGTGTTCCTCAGATAATCTAGTGACTATCACTTTTTTTTTAAGAAAACTTTATTTTATATTATTTGGGCAGTACATGATATACACAAGTTACATTATTAATACACATAAAACACAATTCATAAATATATAAATAACAGAGAGCACGTTTATATTCCAATGAGACTCAGTTCGGTCACAGACTCAACATGCCCCATGGCTGAGTCTGGGATTTGTCCAGTAATTGACTATTACTATGTTCCAGTAATGAGATGTGACGATGAGGAATGCATACTGTATGTTTCAGTTATACAAAAACTAGATTACATTTTTTTCCGTTTTTTTGACAATTTATTAAATGAGATATATCATTGGTATTAAACATAATTACAACTTTCAGACTTTCATTTATCTGACAAAAAATGGGGCATTTGTGTCCTAAAACAGTTTAACCTCGTAGAGTTCACATGAGCCACAACCACCTCTTGATCGCTTCTCTACTGGTTTCTCATTGATGTTTTAAAGCTAAAACTTGCTCTTGCTGTTTTTACTGTCCCACAAGTCTTTGACGGCGTTTCTTTGGCTGAGACTCTCGGGAAGTTCTTGTGTTTTCTCTTCAGTCTGTAATCACACTGCAGCGAGACTTTCTTTAAAGGAAAAAATAGGAGGATTTTCCTAAAAAAACATGTATAGACTGGAAAAAAAATAATCCCTTGCACCAATCACCACTCATGACCCACTAGAAGTATACGGTGGTGTCTGTTTCTGCAGAGACCCCGCATCCCTCTGCCAGTTTCTTCTTATTTTGCTGCGTTTGGGACGTTTCTTGGTGTCAACCTATAAAAAAACGTAGTATCTAGGTGCCAAATTCCAAGCAAGCACCCAAAAGGAAACTATAGTGCTACTAGAATACTGTAGCAAACACAGTGTGAAGAAGAAAATGCAAACGTAGCAGATTTAAAACGCCAAATGGACCAAGGTTGTTTCAAAACTAGAGGGAATCTGAGGTTTGATTTCACCAATCGTCTAACAACTAAACGTACTCATGGTGCCTTTAGGAACTCCGGTGATCTTCCACCTCAGTGTGTTTCCAGGAAATTGGGGAATATATATGTTTTAAGATAGTATTTAAGCCTTTAGTGTCTCCAGAGGGAGCTGTGTGAGGTCTGATGAATGTCCTCTTGTGATGTCACTTGAGTCAGCGTTGTTTGAAGAATCTTAAAAATCTGGAGGAGTGGAGTTAGACATCTTTAGTCCGCTTCTTATCTCTGCTACAGGGTCATGGGTAAATCAGACCCTATAAATTAAACACAGCAACATTTGTCTGCCGAAGAGTTGCATTTTGGGTAATGTAGGCGCCATGTTTTGACATGGAAGAACGTGTGGGATAAATAAAGAATATATCTCTCGTTCTGCTGCATCAATTTGAATCTTTTTAAAAAAAAAACCAATTTCCATAAAAAACTCGCAGAGGCGACTCCTTTTAAAAAACGTTAATTATTAACCAAATTCCAACCAGTCACATCACGTCCATGATCAGTTTTGTTACGTTTGGCTGTGAGTCTGAACACATCATGGGCCACACTGTAGACATGAATGTTTATCTGTTTCTGAGTGTTGATTTGAACCTGCAGGCTGCTCTTTATGTTGCAGGTACTCTTCCAGAGCAGAACCCATGTTTCACGGGCAGACACGGCTGTGACATCAACGCTATGTGCCGACCAGGTGAAGGCCTGCAGTTCACCTGTGAATGTTCTTCTGGTTTCACTGGAGAGGGACGCTACTGCCAAGGTAACACAACCTCTGCATAATCACATACATAACAACTTTCATCATTTCACTGATGAGAGTTGTTGAAGAATAACTTTCTGAATAAACTCTGCTTTCCAATAACAACAATGAAAGGAATAGCAAGTTGCGCAGGTTGAAAAAAAGTTATAGGTCAACTTAAAATGCAATGCAGTACAATGGAAGCGTTTGTAAAAATCGTTTTTATGAAACACCTGCAGATACAGTCCAACATGCGCCACCTGCAGGCAACACAAATATGCAATATGTTCAGCTCTTCTGCCCCCTACAGGCAACGACTGTAACTGCTTACGTTTATTAGTGATTAGTGGAATTTTTGTTATATTATATACTATTTATATCACTTAAGTGACTTATAATAAGCTACGTTTTGCGTTTTTTTTTATTAACCCGGAAGTCCACATCGATGTAATAAGAACATGTTGATCATCTTGCTTATTGAAAGACTATATTATATATTCTCCCTTTTATTTACACTCTTTATCTCGTCCTCGTGTTAGCCTTTAGACTCGCTCTGAGGTTGTCCTGGTCATAAAGTCAGATATTTTTGTGATGGTGGAAGATGAATGAAACCAAAACATGACCCATATTTATTGCAGTTTTTGATGTGCTCAGTGCCGCTAGTCATGATAATCTGTTACTGTAATTTAAGGTCGTATAAATAAATACTTTAATACATATCCCTCACCTCCATTTTTGTGTGTTATTGGCAGATACTGACGAGTGCAGGGAGAATCCTCAGATCTGTGGAGCTAACTCCGTCTGCAACAACCAGCCCGGGACTTTCCGCTGTGAGTGTTTCACCGGCTTCCTGTTCGCCAGCGACGGACGGACCTGCATCGGTACGTTACTGTGTGTGTGTGTGTGTCTGTTTGTGTGTGTGTCTGTATTGACAGCTGTGAGGGTGGATGGAGTGTGTTATTCCTGAGTGTGTCACTGCTTCGAAGAGTCCCTTGTTTCCTATACAGATGTTCTCTACGCCGCCAACAGACATGAACAATAACGTTGTTGTACGACTCTGTATTGGACTCTCTCCACTGAAAACACAACAAACGCATGTCTTTGTTCAACACAGAACATGTGATTCAACATGAGAATACCGACCAGGGCTGAAGTCCAATAGTCCATTTAGCTTAGGAACCTTCCTAACGGAGTGAAATGACCCGGAAGTCCCTCAGTGGCAGCCATGATAAGTGCCGTTCCAATTCTCTAGATGATAGGAAAGGAGGTTTCAAACTTCCTTTATAACATCCTTTAGCTTAGGAACCACTGGACCTCCCTAACCGAAAGGAGAGGAGAAAATGCTGCCCCACAATGCCTTGCAGCCGCAGCATTTGCCGTCACACAACAGTCGGCCGTTCACGGAAACAATCGATTATGACCGAGAAATGATATCATGAAAGTTACGGTGCTTATTAAGCATTTTAAAACGTATGTGGTAAGTTGCCAAAGTGCTTTGTTTTGAACGTTCATCAGTATTATAATCAAAAAGAGAAATATGAACGTTAGTTTTTACTGAAATGATCAAATAAAGTCAACATTTCACTGAGCTGTGTGGGGTTTGTTCAACTTTTAAAAGATGTTTGAATGGTGATATACACAGTGATAGATGTTAAGGACTAACGTTTATAATAAATACATTTGTATTGATTTTAAGATCTTTTCATAGTTCATACAATCATACGTATTGGGATCATTTGTATTAATGTGGACCGGAGGGAGAGGGTGATGAGCATAAGTTTCACTTTCCTTTTTTATTTCAATTCCAACTTTGGTCCTGAAGAATATGTTTCTCTGTTGTCCACGTTCATAAAGCATAAAACAACAGCATCAGAGCACGGTGCAGAGTCTCTAGATGAGTGTACAGTAGTCCCTCGTTCTTATTATACATCCATGTTGTAGTCCGCTGTATAGAAAACTGCATCATAAACACGTCGGATAGTGAAAGTGCAGTCGGATTCTCTAAAGTACCGCGGTCTCTTCTCCTAAGTCCTTTTGAATTCTCCTATCCACTATCCCTTAACCCCGTGATGTTTCACTCAGAGGTCAAGGAATAGGAGATAGGGTTAGAACTTAGGAGCTGATTTTTGGATTATCGGAACGCAACCCAGATCTACAATCAGATAATCTACATAAATCAGCAGGGATCAGAGTTGTTGAATTATGTACGGTGGCCCAGAAGTGCATTAGAATAAAAACATTTAGCAATAGCTTTAAAGATGCAAGTTGATGAAAATGAGCACCAGTGAAAACATCGTGCACAAAACATAAGAAAGAGAAAAGCACAAAATAATACCCAAACATATATAAGGTGTTACAAAACACATCACCACGTAATGTTTTTAAATACATTTCCTTAGTGAGAGTTTTTTTGTATTTTTTTGTATTGAAAAAACACGCTTTTTTTAATAGAAGGATGTCTTTCCTACTGTTTGACATTTTGAAACATTTGCTTATTTGTGTATTTGTTGTTGATGACATGAAGTTGAAAGCATAATATATCAGCAACATTTAGATTTAGCTTTATTGGAACCATGAGTCTCAAACCAGAACAAAAACAGACTAACAATAAACTCAAGTATGCGTCCATATGGTTTTTGGCCATACAGTGTATTACGTTTTTAAATGTAACTTTCTCACTGACTGAGAGAAAACATAAAAACATGGTTTTAAATGGCAACAAAATTACTTTCTTTACAGTTTTTTTAACAGTTATCCCTTCGTTTACAATCAACACATGTTGTTCCTATAATTTATAACTTTTCCAACATGTCTCCTTCTCGTCCTCAGAGGAGAACCGTCCCGTGGATCACTGTCAGAGAGGAACTCATGACTGTGATGCTCCTGATCGAGCGTCCTGCAGCTACACCGGCGGCTCCGCCTTCCTCTGCTCCTGCCTGCCGGGATTTGTGGGCGACGGCCGGGTGTGTCAAGGTGAGTTCATCAACAGCAGAACACACACTGAGGCTCACTGTCAGTGTTATAGATAGATAGGTAGATAGATAAGTAGATAGATAAGTGGATAGGTAGATAGATAGATAAGTGGATAGGTAGATAGATAGATAAGTGGATAGGTAGATAGATAGATAGATAGATAGATAGATAGGTAGGTAGGTAGGTAGGTAGGTAGGTAGGTAGGTAGGTAGGTAGGTAGGTAGGTAGGTAGATAGGTAGGTAGGTAGGTAGATAGGTAGGTAGATAGATAGATAGATAGATAGATAGGTAGGTAGGTAGATAGATAGATAGATAGGTAGGTAGGTAGATAGATAGATAGATAGATAGGTAGGTAGGTAGATAGATAGATAGATAGATAGGTAGATAGATAGATAAGTGGATAGGTAGATAGATAGATAGATAGATAGATAGGTAGGTAGATAGATAGATAGATAGGTAGGTAGGTAGATAGATAGATAGATAGGTAGGTAGGTAGATAGATAGATAGATAGGTAGGTAGGTAGATAGATAGATAAGTGGATAGGTAGATAGATAGATAGATAGATAGGTAGGTAGATAGATAGATAGATAGATAGGTAGGTAGATAGATAGATAGATAGATAGATAGGTAGGTAGGTAGGTAGATAGATAGATAGGTAGATAGATAGATAGGTAGGTAGATAGATAGATATATATTTCTGAAATATAAATAAAATAGCATTAAAATGTGGAAAATATACATGTGGAAACACAAAAAACGTATGACTTATGACTTCAGTATCAACTCAGATGTATGCAACTATGAATGATGGCAGTGACGTTGGAGGCCACAGCAACAGTTTTCATGTGTTTAAAGCAGCGGAACAATATTTTATTAGTTTTACTTGAAGGCTTCTTTTAAACTTAACCTTGTTTGCAACTTGTATACATTTAAATCAAGAGAGTTCAGTCAACTAAAAAAATAATCCCAATAGCTGTATCCACGAACACTCTTGCATTCACACACACGATTTCAGTGTCAGAGTTCAGCGTCCTTCGGCAAAAAACTGCTCACTCAAGAGTGACGAAATGTTTGTGGACTAACCCGCAGAACGAGCTATACAATATTTTGTTTCAGCTAAAAACTGGAGCCCCGCATCGTGAAGGGAGTGAAACACAACATTGTGCTATCAAATTCAAAGCTTTATCGGAAAATTATCATAACGAGGCATTAAACAAACGTGCAGCCATTGTTTATGTTTGAACATGACGACAGAGAAGGGGTTCCTCCTCAAGGATTGACAGAAGGACTAGCAGTACAATTAGGATATATAGTTGCAGGGTTACAGGATAAAGAAGTCCAGTTTCCTTTACCTGTGACTGCTGATTTCTCCTTCTGTCTTTTATACTGTCAGTCTGGTTGAATGATGTAAAAAAGCAAACTCTTCATACGAAGTAATGTGTATGTAAAGAGGACTTTCTGCATCTTAAAGCAAGACACATCAGATGTAGAGATTTGTATTTTGTGGCTGGAGAAAGAGACTTTCAGCCACAGGGACCGGGCACATCAAAAAGCATTTTTCCACGTGAGCTTGCACAGTTTGAGTCTTTCTGTTTCTTTACTGTGACAAACTATAAGTCATTGCGTGGGCCCCTCGGACAGGAAATGTTTCCACCTCGACACAAAATGCAGAGCCCTGCCTTACAGCTGCTCATCTCTTATATATACACACACACACTCTGTAGAGACTGAGCAGAAGAATGTGGAGAAAAAACAGCAGGACAAACTGTGCAGAACATTTCTCTTTTAACCCTTATGTTGTGTTCGGGTCTCCCGTGACCCGCTTCAAGTTAACATTATATAATAACTACGCTCTAGTTTTTTGTATCGGAACGAGGCTTCATGATATCCTCCACAACAGCTATATAAACACTACAACACAGATTTTTGGCAATTTTTGCCAAGTGTGAAGGTCTGTAATTTGTGTATAATTTGGTGTTGGGGTCTGGGGAGACCCGGCAGAATGGTTTTGGGTGACTCGAGGTCAAATTTGGCCCAATCAAGATTCATCTTTGACTTTAGACACCCCTCCCCCGCCCCCTTCATCAACTGTAACAATCATTTTTCGCAACATGCACCTGGTCTCCCCTCCCTCTGCCCCCCTCCCCCCACGGGAACTCCACCTTTCTCAAAGAATATGTACACTAACACTTTCATTTCATTTCATTTTTATTTGTCCCGCTCATGGTACGCAAAACCAAATGTACAATAATTGCCACAAAGCATGACTCTACCATTGAGCGAAAAGGAGAAGGGAGAAGAATACAATCTTATGTGACCTGCCCCTTTCTAAAAAAAACAAAATACAAATAGATGGTCTGCCCTTCATAATAATAATTTTCACAGCCAAACATAACAGTATCTTAGGACACCAAGAGAAACACACACAAAATACTCATTTCCCACTTGACGGTCAACGGAAAGAAACAAAACACCAAAACATCACATGTATAAGGAAAAGAAAAGTGCAACACCCTCATCTGAGTCCTACTGGAGAAGAAGGTGGAAAGCGAGGCATGATGATAATAATAACAATAACAACAATAACAATGGCAATGGGACCCGCAAATACAGAGGAGACATCACATCAAAGACATGAAAAACATGAAGGACCAGAGTACATAGACTTATTCACATTCTGCTTCATATAGTCCCATCTTTCTTCATTTATACAACTTCTTTAACTGAAAAATACAAATACAATTCTTTAGATCCTTGTGTTGAGAATTCCACAATTGTACACCAACTACCGAAATACACATTTGTTTAAGAGTAGTCCTTGCATATGGATGCTTAACATTTAATTTCCTTCTGTGGTCTTCCTTGTCTGATTCAAAAACCTGAACACACACATGCACGTGGTGTAATGTGTTTTGGGCCATAACATTACAACAGGATTGTACGGTTATGAATGCATTATAAGTTAGTTATGATGTAGTTAAAACAATATTGGATGATAGACATTTTTTGTGCGTGTTTTGGACTGAGATAAATCACGGGTCAAAATGTATTCGCGAACACCATGAACGGTAACAGCTTTCGAACACAACACAAGTCTTCACAAAGTCTGGTCAGTTTGCTGAGAGTTGGAGATGAAGTCTTACCTGTAGTGGAGCTTAAAGATGATGATGCTGCAGGAAAGGGTTCATCCTCTGGAGAGCAGGGAACAGATCATAACATGTGATGGTTATCTGCAACTTAATGCAGATTATAAGATGTATAAATGTCATCATTTGACCTTAGTTGTGCATAACAGCTAATAAAGTGGTTATTCCTAACAACACATTCTGTTGCTCATTATTTAGCATCACAGGGGCACTTGGAGTCATATTTAATGTCTGCCATGATGTTCAGACTAGAGACTGTATATTTAAAGATAGAAGAGGCTTCTCCACACACTCCAACTTTACAAACCATAATATCCTGGGTGTGAGAGCTTCAGAACATTTGGAAAATTGGCAGATAATGTTGAGACTGTGATGTGGTGGAAATAAATGTCCTAAAAAAGCTAATAACATGAGTAAGATTTCCAAAAACTTGACGGCACACATGCTTAATTTATATGAAATATGTGATTGAGACCAAGGAGCTTTTAAACAGACAATTTGACTCGTATTTCTTAGAAGCCACTAGTGCATGGGTCGGCAACAGGCGGCCCGCGGACCATTGTTGGCCCGCCAGCAATAATATTTGGCCCGTAATTTTGAGAATCACTAATAAAATATTATTTTGAGATTTATTTTTATTTATTTTTTTTCCAACATAAAAGCCGCTGATTGATCGGCCGCCGGTCACTATCGGCCGATATTCACTATTAATAGTTTGACTTTCGACTGATTTCGATAGAGCGGGTCTTATATGGCAAATTGTGGGGAACCAGGTCAATTAAAGTACTTATTTAACTATATATTAAATACATTGAGTTTGAGTAAAATACTTGGTTACTGATTAATTTAGGTTATAATATATTAAATTGATTTATTTTGTCCTTTGGTATTTTTTAAAGGTTTTCAACCTGAAAGAATATAATGTGTCCTTGAAAAGTTTAAATAAAGAAAAGGAAAAAGGATTCCAGTTGTCCATGCGTCCTCTGTTGCCCCTCAAGCCTCTCAAATGTGCAAACACTCAAATAAATGCCAAAAACCCAGAGAACTTGACAATAGGCTACTTATCAGAATACAATGTTAAATAACACTGCTACCTAGTTAATAACTCTACTTTACTCAGTGGAGGCTCGTCCATTGAGGAAAGGGAGGACCATCCTCCCTAATTTCAGAGAAAAATAAACTTTGAAGAGAACAATAAATACACCTCAATTTAAAAGATAAGTCTGTTAAAATACAGATAATAGCCCTGGCTTTGGGACTGAAATGGGGCTAGAGAGGACGAGCCTCCCTTTGGGCGGGTCTAGCCAGAGGCTCTGGATTGGGCGCCTATATCATCAGTGAACCAATCAGCGGATCTGACTGCGCATCAGAGTGTTGATGGGGAGGGTCATCAGCGATAGAGTTTTTTCTGAGCCGGGGAACAGGGGCGCTGCGCCCTCTTACCAAAATCATTTCCTTGAATTAGGCTTTGATTATGTTCTGGCCCGCCATCTTGCGGCTCAGCAAAAAATTGGCCCACGGCCAAACTTACTTGCCTACTGTTAGAGATTTATCTTAAACCTCCTCCATCTTTGTTCCTCCTCTCTGTTCAGACGTAGACGAGTGTCAGCAGGACGTCTGCCACAGCGCTGCTTTCTGCTCCAACTCCCAGGGGTCCTTCGCCTGCCAGTGCCATCCGGGTTTCCACGGTGACGGCTTCCAGTGCAGTCCCATCTCTACAGGTAGGTGACACACACACACACACACACACACACACACACACACACACACACACACACACACACACACACCCACACAGACACACACACACACACACACACACACACACTGACACCCGTGTGAGTTAACAAATCAGTCTATTACTGGATGGATGCCAAATGTATTACATATAGCGGTGTAGATTCTTGTTTGGATTGAGTTCATTTTCAGATTAGTTCACATCAGTAGGAATGTAAAGTAATGGCAGTTGGGAAAGAAGTATTCACTTCGCTGCGGAGTTTGCACGTCAAAATTGTCTTCCTGTCGTCTTAAACATGCTCACATGATCCCATACTTTGGATATCCTAAGCAACACAATTACCTTAATGACCAGGCAGCGCCTCGATGGAGTTTATTTTGTGTTCATTTATTGTGTGACTTATAGACTAATGGAACATTTACCTTTTTAGCCAACTATCGTAGTCCACTATAAGGGGGCAGCGCTATACAATGGAAACACTAAAGTAAAGTACAGATACCTCTGATTTGTACTGTAGAACAATACTTGCCTAATTGTCCTTAGTTCAATTCCACCAATGTTTACTGGGTTAAAACCTGAAAAAGCAGTGGTTTAGTTTTTGTGTAGTTTTTATACAGATCTAATCCGTGTCTCCTGATTGACAAAGAGCTCTCATAATAAAAGTATTCACGTGTGTTAGTGTGTTTGGCATCACGTGCAGACTGCAGTTGGTTCTCCAGACATTTCAGAGAAAGTGGAAGCTGTGTAAACTCAGCAGAGTAAACATGCAGCTAAAGGTTGAGCAGGAAGACGAGCTGACGGAGGCTGGAGGATGTTGTTGAGCTGACGAGAGAGTAAACAGATCTCATGTCAGACTCAACACACACACAGCTGAGGTGCAGACTGATTCAGGGTTATAAAATAATTATATATTAAATGTCATCATGCTTCTCGTCCCAATGTCAGATGTCTCTGCGCTAAAGTGTCAGAGATTATCCTCAAGTAAAAGTAGTAATACAACAGTGTAAAAATACTGTTTCAAGAAAGTATCCTGCTTTCAAAATGTCACCTAAGCCAGTAAGGACATTGAAAAAGCATATCCTGAAAGTAATCTACAGATGAGAGCAACACATCCAGTTACTTTCCCTGTACATTCGCTGTCATTTGACTGGCGGTAAATACAGATTTATGAGGTTTTCTCCAATCACATCAAACAATTCAGAAAACCGTGTTCTACAAGGAGTCCAATTACGATGGTCAGACAACTAGACAATGACATTGGAGATCGTTGATCAGGGTCGATTTATGGTTTAATTCCGTCTACGAGTGTTAGGCAGCAGGCTAACACTGAAACTAGGAGTTCCTTGACTTGCCAGTGTTTTGTATATGACAATGCAGCGACTACATTCACTACTTTGACTTTTAACACTATAACTGTGTAATTGGGCAATTGACGTTAAACTCATTAGCATCAAATGTAGCTGTGATGAAGTGTTTCCCACAGACGTATTGACTCACAGATATTGATCACTCTTTTCGTCCTCTCTGTGGAGTCCTTTTTTTCTGTCCGTTTTTCTTAGAGGAAGTCAAGAAAATTGTAACTCTGGATTTTGTTGTTGTTTGACGGGCAATATGCGACACGGCAGCATGTAGGCATGAAGAAAGTCTTCTTTCTCGCTTAGTGTCGATGTCTTGTTTTTAACGGAAAGTGGGCGGGGCCGTATGTTTGCCAGAAAGTGTCTTAGCGATGCTCTCTTCTATTGGCTAGCGCTCCAACACATTGAACGTGATAGGCTAAGGGGCGGGACATCTCTAAGTGGTTGACCAATCACAACAAAGCCGGACAGCTAACCAATCAGAGCAGACTGGCTCTGGTTTCAGACAGAGGGTGAAAAGAGGGGCTGCAGCACAGGCAGTATGAGAACAATAAAGAGCTTTTTGAACATTAGAGCATGGAGACGTGTCACAGGAGAGACACTACATACTGATATTCACCTGAAAACTATCGGGTAATACGGCCTCTTTAATGTCTAAAGACCTTATTCATCATATTTATCATTTATTGTCTAGCAGCACAGTAAATAACATTTCCCTAGTTGTCACTTTTATCAGAAGTGAATTACTAAAATTGTGACATAAGCAGCTGCTCTTGAAAGTGTCAGGTTTGTTTGTTGTTGTTGTTGTTGTTGTTTAGTAGTTTTGCTGGTCTCAGAGCTGCAGACTGCTCCGTGATTCCAGCTGTCAGCAGCTGAGATAATTACAGCTCCATCCTCTGCTCTAACATTTTGTCATATTTCCGTCTCTTTTATGAGCGGCCGTGCTCTGCGAGGCATAATCTTTCTGTCCCGTCACAACGTGTCACAGCGTCTCTCCGAGGTTCCTTTGTCTGAACGACTTTGATCTTATTCCCTTTCATAAGGCAGAGGTGGAGGATGTTTTCTTATTCTGTACACTGATAAAACACTGTAAAACCCTGTATGACAGCACAATCTAATATCTCATGTGACTGTTATACTATCATATATTATATCATTACGTTATAATTACTAATGCATTATTATAAAAGCAGGATTTGACTCTTGTAGTTGGTTGAGGTGGAGCTCATTTTGAATGATTAACTAATACTTATTTTTATGATCTATTAACATGCTGATTATCTTTCTCTTAATAATCAAAGGATGTTTTGGTTTGTACAAATATGTTAAAAAAAATGTAAGGCAGATCTACACAGGGCACAAATTCATAAAAAAGAGTACAATTATTTAAAGGAATTGTCAAATCTTCACACTTGAGAAGGAAGAACCATGAGACGTTTTATTATATTAAAATCAAATTGTTTCTGATTCATTTCTTTCAATCGACTTTTGTTTCAACTTTACATTTTCATGTTTTGTGAAATAAAAATCGGACTTTTGTAAAGTCCTTTTACCTTTTTAAATCAAACTTTGGAGCATTCAAAAATACAATATTTCCCTCTTAGATGTCGGTAAGTAGAAGTAGAAAAGGTGACATTTAAAGAAAATACTACAGTAAAGTACAAGTACTTCAAACGTGTCCTTAAGTGCAGTACTAGCGTTCATATACTTGGTTTAATTCCAGCTCTGCTCTGAAGGGTCTCCACATATTTGTGGTGTTCCTGCGCTGTGATTGTTGTTATCAGCGCGGCGCTGTGTCTGTCAGACGGCTGTTTTGACTCTCTGCGGTTCCTCGCTCAGACACCCTTGAGGATAAGAGTGTGCAGAGCGCCGGGCCTTCCAGATGTCACTGTGGCCCCGGATGTGACCGCAGAGATGAAGAGCTGCTCTTCCTCTCAGTCTTTATCTGCAGCTGCCACGCACTGCAGGACAACGCTCAATAGAGATTTAAAAATCTGTGGAAAAACTGTATTTTGAATCAAGAGCAGGTTGATATTTATTCATATATTTTGGAGCGTCTTTATATATTGACCGTACAGATATTTTTCTGTATTAGGTTGGGTGTAGACAGAGGTGGTAGAAGTATTCAGATCTTGTACTTGAGTAAAAGTAGAAGTGCCAGAGTGTCAGAATACTCTGTTATAGTAAAAGTACTGCATTCAAAATGTTCCTCAAGTAAAAGTAGAAAAGTATTCTCATCAAAATATAGTGAAAGTAGCGACAGTAAAAGTAGTCATTGTGCAGATTGGTCCATTTCAGAATAATATATATGATATGTTTTATAATGATTGATCATGAAAGTGTTCTCAAAGCTGGTGAAGGTGCAGCTAGTTTGAATGACTTTGTATACTGCAGGGTAGCTTGTGAAAAAAATACGAGTAATTAAAGTGACAATTTTGTAGACATTTTCCTTTACAATTATTATTTTTATTTAAAAAAAAAATGTTTAAGTCAATTTATTGAAGATGTCAGAAACAAAAACATACAACAATAATATATATATATATATATTCTCTTTTTTTCTTTTTTTTCTCACTCAAATTAATAATCATAACAAAGTACAAAAAAAAAACAACAATAATAATTCTCAAATAGTCTCTGTCGTGTTCAATAGGGGCAAGAAGAAGAATTAAAGATTATTTGAAAGTGTTTTTGTATGTTTATACTCTATATCTCACTCTGCCTCTTATATTATTTCCCCCCAGAGCGTGAGCAGACGGTGTGTGAGCGCCACAGAGAGAGCGCTCAGTCCCCCCCCTCCTCCTCCGGCTCCGCGATCTTCTCCTTCTTCCTTCCCCGGCCGGCTGTGGGTCAGTTCGTCCCTCAGTGCGACCTCCATGGAGCCTACGAGCCGACGCAGTGCCACAGCTCCATCGGGCAGTGCTGGTGTGTGGACGCCAGCGGGCAGGAGATCCCCAACACCCGCACCGGACCGGGGAACACCGCCCTGTGTGAGTCACCTCTGACCTCTTATATCATCATGTGCTTTAAAGGTCACCTATTATGCAAAATCCACTCCTCCATGTCTCTTCTACATCAACACGTGTCTCCTCTCCTTCATGTCTCTTCTACATCAACATGTGTCCCCTCTTCTCCATGTCTCTTCTACATCAGCATGTGTCCCCTCTTCTTCATGTCTCTTCTACATCAACATGTGTCCCCTCTTCTTCATGTCTCTTCTACATCAACATGTGTCCCCTCTTCTCCATGTCTCTTCTACATCAGCATGTGTCCCCTCTTCTTCATGTCTCTTCTACATCAACATGTGTCCCTTCTTCTTCATGTCTCTTCTACATCAACATGTGTCCCCTCTTCTTCATGTCTCTTCTACATCAGCATGTGTCCCCTCTTCTTCATGTCTCTTCTACATCAACATGTGTCCCCTCTTCTTCATGTCTCTTCTACATCAACATGTGTCCCCTCTTCTTCATGTCTCTTCTACATCAACATGTGTCCCCTCTTCTTCATGTCTCTTCTACATCAACATGTGTCCCCTCTGTGGAAAGAGACTCTGAAGGTTTCAGGAACAAAGATTCTCTCTCTTTTTGATCCATTTCTATAAAAACCTGTCTGAAAATGAGCTGATCAGATTTTGCCACTTTAAGGAGTTTATGTGTGTGTGCTGCATGAAGACAGGAGGAGGTGTGTGTGTGTCAGGGTCTCTGGGTCATGGAGTGTAAGTAAGAAGGTTTATATATATATATATAGGATTACTTTAAACAGTCCCAAATAATACATGTTCACTTCAATACAGTTCAAGATAATACCTGTTTACTTTAATACAGTTTAGAACAATATCTGGGTGATTTAATACATAGACTCAGTAAGTAAAAAGCAGTATATATATATAAATATTTTAAGATTTTAAAAAGAATGGGAAGAAATATTTTCACAAAATCGGCTTCACAAGTAAGGTAGTACAATATGAATTTGACATAAGATGTATTTAGTTGAAATACTTTTCCAAGCTGAAACTTAGCAATTGTGTTTCCAATTTCAGTTTATACCAATAACGCATTTTTGGGAATTACGCCGGTGATGGGCTGGTTGGAGTTTAAAAAGCACACCTCTATAATGTTTTTATTGAAACTATCACTGCCAGAAAGGTAGACATGTCCACAAGTTTAACCATATGGTATTAAATAATAATTAATAGCATTTATTTGAGCACTTTTTACAAGAGTAATACATCAATACTGTTGACAATAGTTTGTATTGTGTTTTATGTCTTTATTTCTGTCCCTGTAAGCACCTGATCTGATCTGTGGTATGCAAAAATATCTCAAAGTGTTTTTCATGTGAATTTCCCCCCAAAAAAGAAAACCTGGTATTTCACAATCACATGAAAAATGATCCTCATTAAACTAAAACCTGCCCCCTGATCTCCCCCTCCTCTCAGGTATTGATCAGGGGGTGAATCCTCCTCCGGTGGGTCCAACCCCTCGACCAGACGTCCACCCCGTTGCTCCGGGGACTCACCTGCTGTTCGCTCAGAGCGGGAAGATCGAGCGCGTTCCTCTGGACGGAAACAGCATCAAGATGGACGAGGCCAAACCTCTGCTGCACATCCCCGTAAGACCATCAGATGTATCTTCAATGTTAGATTCCTCGTAAATATTTATTTTGCCCTGAGGCGAAAAAACAGTGTCCTGCAGATTTGACATTAAATGATACAGAGTTAACTGGTGCTTTGTCCTAAGTGAATTACATATAGTAGATTAAATGCGAACATCAATCATCAGATATATGGTTCTTCTAACTGTTCATTAAAATCCTCCAAACGTTGAGAATTTGAGGGGGAAAAAGTCAAGGTCTTGAACGTTTTTAAAAGAGCTTGAACTTGAAATATTTGTTTTAAATGTTCGATTTAACGTTGGTCAACAGGCTACGTATTGCTGTGTTATTGTTTCAGGCACCACATGCCTCAAGAAAAAGTATTGCTGTCTTTAACCTTTCATCTTTGTCTCAAACTATGCCATGTCAGTTTGTGAATTTGATAGAAAGTCTCTAAAATCTCTTGTTTTCATATTTAAGTGGGTGTGGGAATCCTGTGGAAAGTAGCCATTGATTCAGATGTCAGCAAATTAGCTTTTTAATTCTGCCTTCACGAGTTAAAAAGATTCTTTGTCTGAGAATCAGGTCTGGATACCCATCTTTTTTGGCATTTATGAAGATGTGTTTCCATTGTTTTTTCGAAGCTTGGCTAACAGTTTCCCCCTGCTTCCAGTCTTTGTGCTAAGCTAGGCTAAACACTTCCTGCACCTCTCTCTGCTCAGGATGCTCAGAGAGAAAACTTCTTTGCATCTTATAATCAATAGCCTTTCAAAGTGTCTTTAAGCTTTACCAAAATCAAATCATCACATTAACGGATAATTCCATGAAAAATCTTGTATTTGTTTCTAGTTTTTCCACCATTTACCACCAAGTAAAGAGAAATATCCATGTTCCAAACCAGATTGAGCTTCCTATAGAGACAAAAAGCCACATTTTCTTGACTTTATGGAGTTTTTCTGATGACGTTATTCGGTCTTCATATTGAACAACGTACACACAGTGTCAGTGTTTCTCATGAACTTCTAAGCGTTCCTGGTTGCTGTGAAACAATCCTCTTATTGTTCTTAAACATATTTCAACGTCTCATTTCTCCTCTCTCATGAAGCCCATAAGTCATCTGCGTTAATGTACTGCAGGCGAACACAAAGCTCTCCGTCAGCGGCGCAGACTTTCTGTCATCTCCACACAAAAGGCTCTTTGAAAATGAAACTGCGGCTGAATGAAAGCGTCTGTCTGCTCCTGCGTTTCCTCTCAGGACCGAGTGGTGATCGCCCTGTCGTACGACTGCGTGGAGAAGATGGTTTACTGGACCGACATCACCGGGCCGTCCATCAGCAGGGCGCGTCTGAGCGGAGGAGGCATCATCCCTGTCGTCACCACAGGTACAGCAGACGTCACAAAGTCACTGCTGCAGGGCAGTGGCGGTTCTAGACCAATTTGACTGGGGGGGCCACTGGGGGGCCAGTTATTTTCTGAGGGGGGCACAATAAATGCAGGACGAAAAAGAGAACTAGACAGTATGAAGTAATTGCGCATAAGAAAACAATGCAATACAGTTATTGGTATTTGTTTCAGTACATTTATTTATTTCAGATAGATCTTATAGTTATTACTGTTAGCTTCAGCTTAAGTTATAGTGCAATGTTTGCACTAACACCATATTTATATAAAAATAAAGGCAATGAACAGTTACATCTCTACTTTACATAAGGGTGTCTGCACAATCTCACATTACAGCAACAAAATCCTGCGGTTTTTGGCAAACCAAGTACCAGAAAATATACATTTAAAAAAAAAAAAAAACTTGTCATTGTTAGGGGGGCAACAGGGGGGTCAGAGGTCAGTGTTAGGGAGGCACTGGCCCCCCCCTAGAACCGCCCCTGCTTCAAAAACAAGAATGAGTGTGAGTACAGTCATCTTTACATGGCTGAGCGACATGAAGAAGACCAATCTTACTCAGTGTCCTAAGGTTCTTTTAAAACCTTTAGTGTGTTTTTTGACATGAGAAGACATTTTAATAATTGTTTCTCACATTAAAAACACATTTTTAGAGTTAGTTTCCCTTAATTGTATTAGATGTTTTAATATAACTATATATTTTTTTATTTATAAGACAAAAAAAACTATTATATAAAAAAGAACCTGGAAGTTGCTGGATAAAAGTCATATATTTACAAAAGAAATCCCTGAAATTGTGTTTTTATTGTCAGAAACATTTATAAAAATAAAGATGATGACATTAGGGTTAGGGTTTCCTGTAGGGATCAGATGATGCAATGCTTGTGTTAATAAAAAAGCATTTAAAAATATTTTACTCATCCTCTAAGTTAAGAGTACTCTCAAATGTTGAATCAGAAGCCATTACCACTGTTAGTGATTCCCCCTCTTTGCCTGAGGTCTGATCTGTGTGTGTTCCCGTGTTTCCTCAGATCTCCAGAGCCCTGAAGGCATCGCGGTGGATCACGTCTCGCGGCTCCTATTCTGGACCGACTCCATGCGCGACACGGTGGAAGTTTCCAAACTGGACGGCAGCCAGCGGCGAGTTCTGTTCGACACGGACCTGATCAACCCGAGACCCATCGTGGTCAACCCGGCGTACGGGTGAGTGCTGCAGGAACAACAAGAAGAAACTAATCAGAATTTCAATAATAATGTGTAGAGTGGATTGTCTTAAAGGGGACCTATCATGCAAAATGCACTTTTTGGTGTCTTTTATACATAAATATGTGTCCCCGCCCGGTGTATCAGGGAACTCACAAAGTGTCAGGAAACAAAACCCTCTCTCTTTTCCTCCATACCCAAATCTCTAAAAACGGGGGAACAACGGAGCGGATCAAGATTTGCGTCCGATATGACGTAATATCAGAAGCAATGCGCGACATGTTTTGGACGTAATATGGTCTTTGTTTACATTAGCATCGCTAGCACTCAGAGCTAACCTGTACTGGAGAGACTAGAGCATGTGTGTAAAGAAGCAGGAAATAAAAAAAGGAACTCACCTTGTGGTATAACCGGCAAGAGAAAAAGCATTTGAGCTCCATGCTGTTTCAGAAATAATCCTTGATGTGGTTTGGAACATGATATGGCATTTAATCCCGGCAGAATTTAACTGTATCTGCCGGTAGAATTCTGAGCATGTTTGCAACTTATATATATCAATATTCCAATTACTTGTAGACTATTCTGCACTATTTCTATTTCTATCATATTCTATTTATTTTACTTACTTGCACTATTTTATCAGTTTTATTGTGTTGCACTGTTGGCGGATCCTGTGACCTAAGATTTTAATTTTCATAACTACACTGTAGCTTTGTACAAATGACAAGAAAAGCCTTGAATCCTTGAATCCTTGAATCCTAGTTTTCCTCTGACTGGTTGTTTCCCGTTGCTTCAGGCGGCTGTACTGGGCAGACTGGAACAGAGACGGGCCCAAAATCGAGATGTCGAACATGGACGGGACGGATCGGACGGTCCTGGTGAAAGACGACCTGGGGCTTCCCAACGCTTTGACCTTTGACATCGAGCAACAGGAGCTGTGCTGGGCCGACGCAGGTGAGACTCACCTGAGGCATCATCATGTTGTTAGAAAACACAGAATCAGAAACAGGTTTATTACCAGGTAGGTTGGCACGTACGAGGAATTTGACTTGATGCCGTGGTGGATACATAAATGTATAAAAAAAAGAAGACCGATAGATAGAAAACTATTTTAAGAACACTATAATAACATAAGAAAATAAGAAAAAATATAGTCAAATAAAAAATGAAATAAAGCAGTATTTACATTGAAATAGAATGGAATAAAATATGTGCAGTAAAAAAAAACAGATATTGTCAACATTGTGTGCATTACTGTAATGCATAGAGTCTGCGTTGTGGCTGAGGTAAAGATCAATCAGAACTGAGATCAGGTTAGTTGTCATTGATTGAATGATTGATTGATTGATTGATTGAATGATTGATTGATTGATTGATTGATTGATTGATTGATTGATTGATTGGTGTACAGGGACTCGTAAGTTGGAGTGTATGGATCCTCACCGGCGGCTGAGGAGGCAGATCGTCGAGGGGATCCAGTATCCCTTCTCCATGGTGTCCTTTGGAAAGAACCTTTATTACACCGACTGGAGGAGGTAACACACTCACATCAATATACTCAACTGTATTCAGCTGCTTATAGAGAGGTGCAGGAATGAGTCCTTAACCTGGGAATGAGTCAGCATTTCAGAATTTCCGGGCTCCTTCTTCTCAAAAGTCAATAGTTTTTTTGAAAGTTTTTGTGGTTAGAAGAATACATTTTATGTAACACAAGCTAAAGAAATGTTCACGTTTTGTTCTACGACATAAAATAAGTCAAGAACCCCACTGGTGAATGCCCAAGGCTTCTATGCTTCATAAGAACAGTGGTTGTTAACAATGGTCTTAATTAGACTACTAAACGTCATTACTTTAGTAATAACTTTAATAATGTACTTATTGTAAGTCGCTTTGGATAAAAGCGTCAGCTAAATGCAATGTAATGTAATTACGCCAAACATTAGCCATGATTAGAAGTCTTGTCCCCTATAGCCAACGTTAAGTTTGACTTCTGCCAATTTCATCAAGTATAAATGGTGTTAATATGTGGAGATTGTCCTGCTGAAGAAAACGTGTAAGTATCAGAAACATGGGTTTGCCACAATCCTATCTTCTGTAATAATTCAAAAGCCAATGGAAAAATCCCAAAGCTTTTTGTTTAGCGAATCCTTGCAATGCTAACTTCCGGGTCGGCCAACAAAAATAAGTCATCCCTGCACCTCTCTAAAGTCAGTTGTGTTCAACCCTGTGTTACTCTGACCATCACTCTGTGGTCTGTGGTCAATCATTTTGTTTTGTTTGTGGTTATTTTCCAGAGAGGCGGTGGTCTCCGTGGACCGTTTCTCAGAGAAAGAGACCGAAGAGTTCCTGCCTCAGAAACGCTCTCGACCGTACGGCATCACCTCGACACCGACGCAGTGTCCACAAGGTACGGCTTCACTTTAATAACAAGATACAGAGTAGGTAGACCTGTCGGAGAAAACGAAGTAAAGGAACCAAGGTTATTAAACAGGACATAAGCAATCAGCTGTTTTGCAATGATGCATGGAGGATTTTGACTCTCTGGTTTCTGACAGAGCCTTTTTCTGCGAGCTATGGGTTTAAAATACAAGAGCTACACATATTATATCATATGAGGTACATATCGCCTTAGATCTTCATTATCGTAATATCACATGTCTTTTCCTGGTGTCAAATGCCACATTACGGGAAGGTAATGTCACTTTCTGAACTTAACAGACTTTTCTACATGTTCTTTTTTAAATGTTGTACCCACATAGCCATTATATCGATTGATACATTTTATTTCGAACAAGTAAAATAAATAATAAAAAAATAAAAAAATGTTGCAGTGCATAGTCATGTAAGATAAATCAAAACAAAAAATGACATTTACAACAACAACAACAACAACAGCATTAGCAACATAAACAGTCCCACATATAGTGTTCGAGAAGGAGTGAGAAGAAGTATGACTTATTTATTCTCACCCCCCTTGTCGCTAAATGATTTATTTATAATCTATAATCTGCAATAATTATCATTATTATTATTATTAATTATTATTGTTATTATTATTATTATTATTAATCTACTTTACCTGGGGCCTATACTATGAAGCTGGTTCAACCTAACCTGGATATGTTTGAGTTAGCCGGTTGGCCTAATCCAAAACATATGCGCTCTCGCTAAACTGTACTACGACGCTGGTTATCAAGTGGATCGCTCAAGCCAGCCGTGTCCTATCTAGTTAGGTGCGCGTTCACATGAAAGGGGTGGTATTTGGAGCATTCGACCAATCACAAACATGGAGAAGCGCACTGACAGCGCAGCGTCATACTTCCTCAATGAAAAGTGAACTTTAATACTAGTCAAATATGAAGAAGTTAAACTTTAAACATCCATGACTTAAACACTTTATCCAGGATAAAAGCCACATAGCTGCACCTGCAAGGTGAATACAGCTGGCAAAAGAAAAAGTGTTTGAAAGCGTACATTAACAGGTTTATGATATCACTGCCCCGTCTAAAACACCATCTGACTTTAATTACATTCGTCTCTAGTGTTTTGTCAACTTAATGTGTTGCTTAAAATAATACTTCTGCATCCAGTCTGTGACACTGTGAGTGTTGCACGGCCAGATACGGCTCAGCTGACTCAGATAAGGAAACATATGATACATTATGAAGTGATATGCCGCGGACTGTAGCCTACTTAATGTTACTCTGATCCGGTTACTTATGTTGTGGCAGATATATAAGTAAGCTTTCTTAACCCTAATGTTATAATAGTCAGATTGCTCTGAAGATGGAGGTGATATTCTATTAATGTTCACGTTCACACAGTCGGTGATTTTTGCCGGCCGTCTTTCCTGCGACGGCAGTTTTTCTGTATTTCCTTTCTCCTGTAATAGACTTGATCGCTTTAAACTCCGCACACTGAGCTCTGATTGGTCAGCAGGCAGTGCTTTCACTGAGTTGAGCTCTTAGCCTGCAACCTAACCTGCTCCGGACCAGGTTAGCCGCACAGCATAAGTTACCATGGAGATCTAGCCTGCTAAAAAGAGAACCAGCTTCGGAGGACCGGAAAGCCGGAGTTTTCCCTGAATTTAGCCGGCTAAGCGAAAATCCTGCTTCGTAGTATACCCCCCTGTTGATTGACATATATACATATACACATATGTACATACACACATACATACCCACACATACACATATATACATACTAAGGAGGCGTGTGGCTCAGTGGATAGTGCGTTGGTGTTGGGGTCAGGGGATCACAGGTTCAAACCCCACTGCAGTCCGCATGTCGTTGTGTCCCTGAGACAGTTCACCCCAAATTGCTCCTGTGGGGATTGTCCACAGTATTGAGTATGTAAGTCGCTTTGGATAAAAGCGTCTAACAAGTGATGTGTAATGTAATATATGCACATATACATATACACACCTACATACTCACACATATACACATACACATAGTCAAAGAATCACTAGTTATATCAACATAAATAGTGATTATTTTTCACAAATCTTGTTATGTAAATAGTTTACGAAAGCACCATAGACCTATAATATCCTCGGAATATCAATGTTGAGTTTATTTGATCAGAAATATCATGATATTTGATTTTCTCCATATCACCCAGCCATAATCTCTTTTTAAATATCATCATCATTGTTCCTCGACCTCTTCTAAGGGGTCGAGGTATGAACTATTTATGGGTGATACATGTTCTATTTATCTATATTTATATACGTCTTAGAGCTGCTGCACCTGAATGTCCCCTCTGTGGATCCAAAAAACGTTTACCTTATCTTAAATCGAGCTAACTCAGTTATGTTTATATGAAGAGCAGCTCGGGGGAGTCCTGATCAGAGCCGTTTAGCACACCGAGTGCAGATGTACTCGCTGACCGCAGTAATTGATTCCTGATGCATATAGTATGTGGATGGATATAGGCGTGGGAACTCCGGAGCAGTGACCTCAGGGGAAGCCAGATGTTAGCATGGAGGCTCACAGCTGCTCCGAGCAGCGATGAGAAACACATCCTCCTCCACCTGCTGCAGCGCTGATGGGGTTTAACTGTCCCTCCACTTCCTAAAGCCTCGCTAAACATTTCTATTTAACTTGGCAGCATGTTCTCGGATCCCTTTCTTTCTGTTGTGTTTTTACAGACTGCACCACAACTGGCCTTATCTGTTAAAGGGGCCCTATTTTGCTTTTAGGGGGTTTTCCTTTCCTGTAGTGTGTTATATAGGTTTTTAGTGCATGTAAATGACATTACATTTAGCTGACGCTTTTATCCAAAGCGACTTACAGTAAGTGCGTTCGACCAAGAAGATACACACTTGAAGAAAACAGAATCATATCAAGTGCATCAGGTTTCATAGAGCCAAACATTTCAAGTGCTACTCAACTAGCTTTAGATAAGCCAGTCCTTTATTAGTATATAAGTGCTTTGTTAGTAATTCTACCGCTCGAAGTGGAGTTGAAAGAGATGAGTTTTCAGTCTGCGCCGGAAGACGCAAATGGTCTGGAAAGGCTGAAAAGGAGTTTCCCCCTGCCTGAAACGCCTCCATTGGACTCCTTTGTTTACTTTTGTAGCATAATGACATCACAAAACACTTGTGCTTCTATTGGCTAGCGCTCCAACACATTGTACTTGATAGGCTAAGGGGCGGGACATCTCTAAGCGATGTCCACAACAGAGCCGGCCAGCTAACCAATCGGAGCACACTGGGCTCTGGTTTCAGACAGAGGGTGAAAAGAGGTGCTGCAGCACAGGCAGTATGAGAACAATAAAGAGCTTTTTGAACATTAAAGCATGGAGACATGTAGAGACACTACATGCTGATATACACCTGAACATGAGCAGAATAGGGCCCCTTTAATAAAGACGTTAAATGTAGACCGCCGTGCTGAAGGACGTTAATTCTGTGGCTCTTTGTGGAAAGGCAGGCATTATTATTTCCTTTGGAATGGTTGGTGATGTTTAGACGCAGCTGTTTAACTTACAGCACATGTGAGAAAGAACATGGATTTAAACCTCAAAACTGTGGTGTGAGTTTTACCTCCAGCTCATGAGTTTCCCTGGATTCACACCAGATGTAAAAGGCAAGCTGTCAACAGCTGGAGCTAAATAATAATACGTTGGTTCGACAATTACATCTTACATTGTGTGCATTTTGGAAACATTGGAGCAATCTGACACTCTACTGTAAACCATAAGCTATGCCAGAAGTATCTATAATGGAGTCGTGCTTTCCCTAAGAATCTGAACACACAGTTAGCACTAGTTACACATTCATAATACATTTAAACCTTGGCATGTTGTTTTCAAAATGCAAGTGTTTGCATTTTCAGTTCAGGTACTTTCAAAAATCTGCAATTTGTTTTGATGAATAAGTCAAAGTAATGTTTCAAGAAGATATACCAAGCATTTGATGGTTCCTAGTTCGCTGTAAATTCACTTAGTTTAAGGATGTTGGTCAAACAAGGCATTGATGATTTGACATTTTACTTTTATTAAAGAGACATAATGGATTATTCTCATTGTCAGGTTCATATCAGTATGTAGTGTCTCTACTGGGACATGTCTCCATGCTTTAATGTCCAAAAAGCTCTTTTTTCTCTCATACTGCCCGTGCTGCAGCACCTCTTTTCACCCTCTGTCATAAACCAGAGCCCAGTCTGCTCTGATTGGTTAGCTGGCCGGGTTCGAGTTATAATCTGAGCTTTATGGGGGTCTAATAATAATGATTTATTGCGCACCTTGGAGGTGAAGTGCAGGCTGATGTCATTCATGAGAGAATACGATGCGTAGTTTCTTTTTATTTTAGCCCATTTACCTCGTTAACGTAGATAATACTCGTTACATTGACACATTATTTGTGATTAAAATAATGGTTGTTGGTAATGTATTAGCGACCACCACAGATGTATGATTTCACTGCATCCATAGGAGCTCAGACCCCTCCTTATGGGAGCTCAGCTCCCATTGGCTCCCACATAACTCGAACCCTGGCTGGCCGGCTGTGTTGTGATTGGTCGACCGCTTAGAGATACAATGTGTACAATGTGTTGGAGCGCTAGCCAATACAAGTGCGAGTGTCACATAGTGATGTCATTATGTTCCTGAAGTAAACAAAGAAGTCTAATGGAGGTGAACACTGGGATTTTAGCCTTTTCAGACCATTTACATGCACCTATATAACACACTACAGGAAAGGGAGAACCCCAAAAAACATAATAGTGCCCTATTACTTTTACATGTAATGTGACACCCTGTACCTTGTGCAGCTTTCTGACGGATGATTTAACCAGATTTAAAGCTGCATCTCTGTATTAATGCCTCCTCTTCCTCTTCCTCTCCTCTCTCCTCTCTCAGCCTATAACTACTGCTCCAACAATGGCGGCTGCTCTCACCTGTGCCTCCCGCGGCCCGGCGGCTTCACCTGCCGCTGCCCGGACGCCTCCGAGGGTCAGTGTGAGGAGAGGAACCTGTGAGGAACCTGTGAGCTGCTGCTGGGACACACAAAACACTCTTAACTCGACGTTGGTGTTTCCTACATTTCTTACTTGAATTGAACATTTTCCACAATCTTTTGTATGTGTTTCTGGCCGTCGGAAGCTGTTCAGACTTTACTGTATTTATGATGTCACACTTCAGGTGAGATGATTCACTTTTGAATTCAGGTGTGTTTGTATTTAGACTCCTGGGTGAAGAGTTTCTCCTCAAAATGAGACCAAAGTGACACAAAATCTTAAACAGGGATTTTTTTTAAAGACCGTAGGTAAACCAAAAACCCTTGTGATGATAATTATTTGAAAAGGTACTGAACGATAAACTATACGTTGTTTTTTATTATATTTTAAAGGTTTAACTCCTTCGTTTTTCCTTATAACTGCGTAAACAATCAGATATAATTCAATCAATCTTCTGTAATGATTAAATAATTGAGAAAAAAAGGTTCGTAAGGGCCTTTTCGAAATGTTAGACGTTTCAAAAAATGCCTTAAAAGGTTTCTGAAAAGGAAAAACCTTTCCCTGAAGTTACTTTAGGACAGCCGTGTGTTATCTGTCTTTATCTAATCTGAATACAGGCAATCCTTTGGCTGTAGCGCCCCCTAGAGGTGAAAGGCAGTCATATCAACTCAAAGGCCTTCTTAGAGTTGTCACACATTTTTCTGAAACTATTCAAGAGTTACAGAAATATCACAAAACCGATGCATCATATTTAGTTTAATCCAAACAAATATATATAGTGTATATATATTGTAGCACATTAAGTGAAGACTTGATGAAATATGTACTAAGAAACGACCAAAAAGGCCTAAAATATGTTGCATAATTTCAGGTTTTTATTATACAAAAGGTAAAGTGGCCATGTGACGACACTATATTGTCCACCAGAGTTTATATCCAAAAAAGTCTCCATAAAAGCTCTATTAGTTTCCGTATGATAATAAAAAGCTAATGTACTGATATGCTTTCTCTAAAATGATACAGGACGTTTTGTTTTTTAAAGGATTGCAAAAGTTGTTTTTATTGGCAGAGATATTGTAAAATAAACCAAACCAAGCCAATATGGGATTATTCTATATTTTAGCGATCTTATGATACATTAGATTAGTTTCCCCGACAGAGCTGACTTGTGTGTTATTATTATTTTGGAAGTGGACCACTATAATCACCACTGTGACCCTGAGGTACACCACCTCAGGGCTAAAAACCTTTTTATGACTTACAAGATTTATCGTGTTGTTTGTACTACGACTCAGTGTATTTTTGATATGAACTTGTAAATAATGACCTGATATGCAGACGGTATTCTCTCATGTTTTAATGTTTCCTGAGATCTACCTGAAGACGATTACTGTGAAGGTGTGAGGGAAGTATCGAGAGAACAAGCGGTATGTTTCTGTCATGTGAACATCTTTTTATTCAAGACTGGACAGTGCTGAATTAGGAGCTAGTCACTGTGTTTTCATCTCAAATAAAAGTAGACAAAACTACAAAAAATACATGTTTTGAAAGACTCCTCAAATATACCTGCAAATATTGAAATTAGGGAATGTTAAGCGACATAATCAAACTGCTTCTTATGTCAACAATTATTTAAAATGATCCTAAAACCTGGACAAATACAATTATCCAATTTTGAGAAGCTTATTGTAGCAGCGATATTTTTCAAATATTCATTTGGGCAGCAATCTTACTTTTTCAAACATGAAAATACACTTTAATTTGGATTCAAACCCGTCAAAGACTGTCAAAATCTTAATTTGATTATATTATTTAATTGTAATATTGCCTGACTATTCTAACCTGCTGCTAAAAAATAATAAAAAGTAAAAAGTCCCTCATTTGTAAAGTGAAGTTTCTAGTTTTGTTTGATATAAACACAAATTGTTAAAAAAAATAATCCAGAAATGTGGTCGTTAGAGAATGAGCCGAGCTTGTGAAACAGGTAAAAAGGTGACTCAATATTTTTACAGCAGCAGGAAAAACGTCTGAACTGGTGCTAATGTTTAAAACAGTCTGTTTGCATGACAGGAACATCATTGTGTTGAAGGTGAAGTGAAGAGCAGGTCGGTGCAGCGTTTCTAAACTCAGCTCAGGTTTTTTTGTTGTTGTGGTAACTGATCCCCCATCAGGGAGGAAACGGTCTGTTCTGACTATCAGCCAGAGGGAACATTAACAACCTGTACAGCCTCAATAAAACATGTTTAAAACAAAACGTCAGTGTGGAGAGTTCTGTTTCATATAACCTGTCTTTATTAAACCCACAGCTGATGAGAGGATGTGTCATTCAGATGCAATTCAAATAAATACTCCACTTAAAATGTGTCTTCAGTTACACTTAAAGGTGGGGTAGGTACGTTTCAGAAACCGGCTCGAGATACACTTTTTGTTATCTTCCATGGAATGCTCTTAACATCCCGATAGCCATGAATATCTTGAGTGCTTTGACAAAAAATCCATAACAAAATTTCATCTGTGGAACCTGTAATGTAAAAAGTACAACCAATCCGTTTAGCCGGCCTGTCTGTCAGCCTTCCATCTCGTGCACGCACAAATGTATCTCGTGCCCTCATTGGGCGTGCCGTCATTGGTCATGTGCGCGTTCCTGTGTGTTGGAGGAGGTGCTCTGTAAGGAAGTCTGAAGGAAGGGGCGGATTCTTTTCCGCTGTGTACTTTCAAATTTTAGTGCACTCGAGCCGGTTTCTGAAACTTACCTACTCCACCTTTAATATAACGGCTCAATTGAATACTCTATTCTGATTGGTCAATGAGGTTGTTAATACACTGTTGCTAAGGATAACATGACCATTGCTAAGGAAGATCAAGGTATTATGTGCAGTCATATTAGTCAGAACCCAATTCAAAGTATTGGTCTTCACATATGTCCATGGCCAAGCCCCAGCCTACATTAATGACCTGATCCACCCTCACAGAACAACCCGGGCCCTGAGGTCCTCCTAAGGGTGCCCCGAACCAGGCTAAAGAGGGACCGTGCCTTTGAGGCGGTGGCCCCAAGGCTTTGGAACAAACTCCCCCAGAAACTGAGAGCCTCTGCCTCAATAGAGATTTTTAAGGGGCAGTTCAAGATCCACCTTTTCTGACAGGCCTTTGGGTCGCCGGAGGAGGTGAGTTAGTAGCTGTCTTTTTATTGGTGTTTTATCCTATGTGTTACCTGCTGTTGTTTATGCCTTTTATTCTACATGTTATAGTTGTACTTTGAATTGTGTCCTGTGTCCTGTACTGTAAAGCACTTTGTACATCCGTGTTGAGAAGGCTGCTATATTAATAAAGTTTTACTTACTTACTTTACTTAGTCTGAGAGGAAATACGGTTGATTGTTGATAACCATAACTTTATTTTTCATCGATCAGAAAACACACTGGAATACTTTTCTAACATTTATTTTAATATTTAGCGTAACAGCTCAACAGTCCCCAGAAGAGAAAACAAAAACAGCGCAAGAGGAAAAGGAAACAGGTTCATTGTGTTAGTGCGTCTGATTTCACTTTAACTATCTGGTGATTCTGAAATTCTGAATGAAGTCAAAGCTGATACATTGGCATGCATTTTTCAGAGCAGTGCTTTGACTCAGTGTGCGGTTCAATGCTCTGAACCAACAGATCCAGTTGGGGAGTCGTTTTGGAGTGAATCCAGCTCTCAGTGAAAGTCTGTGAGTTTCTCCAAGGAGGAAACGGTCTGCTGCTGCTGGACGTCAGAAGCAGCTGAAGTTCAGTTTCAGTCCGGGCGGTTCTTCAGGGTCAGGACCAGCGGACCTGCACCTGGTCTCCGTCCTCTATCGCGTAATAATGCAGGGTTTTCAGGTCGCCGTCAATCTCATACTCAATCCCCATTTTCTACAAAGAAAGGAAGTTAAAGGTCACCTCTTGTGCAAAATCCCCTTCTTCATGTCTCTTCTACATCAACACGTGTCCCCTCTTCTTCATGTCTCTTCTACATCAACATGTGTCCCCTCTTCTTCATGTCTCTTCTACATCAACATGTGTCCCCTCTTCTCCATGTCTCTTCTACATCAACATGTGTCCCCTCTTCTTCATGTCTCTTCTACATCACCATGTGTCCTCTCTTCTTCATGTCTCTTCTACATCAACATGTGTCCCCTCTTCTTCATGTCTCTTCTACATCAACATGTGTCTCCTCTTCTCCATGTCTCTTCTACATCAACATGTGTCCCCTCTTCTTCATGTCTCTTCTACATCAACATGTGTCCCCTCTTCTTCATGTCTCTTCTACATCAACATGTGTCCCCTCTTCTCCATGTCTCTTCTACATCAACATGTGTCCCCTCTTCTCCATGTCTCTTCTACATCACCATGTGTCCCCTCTTCTTCATGTCTCTTCTACATCACCATGTGTCCCCTCTTCTCCATGTCTCTTCTACATCAACATGTGTCCCCTCTTCTTCATGTCTCTTCTACATCAACATGTGTCCCCTCTTCTTCATGTCTCTTCTACATCAACATGTGTCCCCTCTTCTTCATGTCTCTTCTACATCAACATGTGTCCCCTCTTCTTCATGTCTCTTCTACATCAACATGTGTCCCCTCTTCTTCATGTCTCTTCTTCATCAACATGTGTCCCCTCTTCTCCATGTCTCTTCTACATCAACATGTGTCCCCTCTTCTTCATGTCTATTCTACATCAACATGTGTCCCCTCTTGTTCATGTCTCTTCTACATCAACATGTGTCCCCTCTTCTTCATGTCTCTTCTACATCAACATGTGTCCCCTCTTCTTCATGTCTCTTCTACATCAACATGTGTCCCCTCTTCTTCATGTCTCTTCTACATCAACATGTGTCCCCTCTTCTTCATGTCTCTTCTACATCACCATGTGTCCCCTCTTCTTCATGTCTCTTCTACATCAACATGTGTCCCCTCTTCTTCATGTCTCTTCTACATCAACATGTGTCCCCTCTTCTTCATGTCTCTTCTACATCAACATGTGTCCCCTCTTCTTCATGTCTCTTCTTCATCAACATGTGTCCCCTCTTCTTCATGTCTCTTCTACATCAACATGTGTCCCCTCTTCTTCATGTCTCCTCTACATCAACATGTGTCCCCTCTTCTTCATGTCTCTTCTACATCAACATGTGTCCCCTCTTCTTCATGTCTCTCTACATCAACATGTGTCCCCTCTTCTTCATGTCTCTTCTACATCAACATGTGTCCCCTCTTCTTCATGTCTCTCTACATCAACATGTGTCCCCTCTTCTTCATGTCTCCTCTACATCAACATGTGTCCCCTCTTCTTCATGTCTCCTCTACATCAACATGTGTCCCCTCTTCTTCATGTCTCTTCTACATCAACATGTGTCCCCTCTTCTTCATGTCTCTTCTACATCAACATGTGTCCCCTCTTCTTCATGTCTCCTCTACATCAACATGTGTCCCCTCTTCTTCATGTCTCCTCTACATCAACATGTGTCCCCTCTTCTTCATGTCTCCTCTACATCAACATGTGTCCCCTCTTCTCCATGTCTCTTCTACATCAACATGTGTCCCCTCTTCTTCATGTCTCTCTACATCAACATGTGTCCCCTCTTCTTCATGTCTCCTCTACATCAACATGTGTCCCCTCTTCTTCATGTCTCCTCTACATCAACATGTGTCCCCTCTTCTTCATGTCTCTTCTACATCAACATGTGTCCCCTCTTCTTCATGTCTCTTCTACATCAACATGTGTCCACTCTTCTTCATGTCTCCTCTACATCAACATGTGTCCCCTCTTCTTCATGTCTCCTCTACATCAACATGTGTCCCCTCTGTGGAAAGAGACTCTGAAAGTTTCAGGAACAAAGATTCTCTCTCTTTTTGATCCATTTCTATAAAAACCTGTCTGAAAATGAGCTGATCAGATTTTGGCCACTTTATGATGTCATAACGATGTTTTGTCTTGTGTAGCCATTAGCCAATCAGCAACCAAGGTAACCCCCCCCCCCCCTTTATCACCTGAATCTCCTCCTAGAGCACCATTGAGTTCTTTGTAACCAAATATCTCTCAGAGGGGCGTGGGGAGGGGCTCCTTATTTTCATCTAAAGTAACAGACAGAGAATCAGCACTTTGGAAACAGGGCTGAAACAGAGGGGATTATGGGTAATGCTGCAATGATCTGTTGGGTGTTTGGAGTGTCACTTCAGAGACATGTTCTGTATATATCTGAGACCTGTAATATATTGATGAAAAACAGTAGAATAGGAGACCTTTAAGTAAATTACGTCGGCTCATGATCAATTAAAATGTCGCTTATTAGTCAAACACAAATAGTGCTGCTGTCATTTAAAGTAACGTGGTCGTCGTCGCAGCAGTTCCAGCTGTTGGTATGCAGTGGAACGGACTATTTTTTTAAGCAATACAATATTATTTTAAATCAATAATCATGAGTCAATTTGTTGTTCTTGTCTGTAGCCGTCGCCGTGTAATAAGACTTGTCTCTGCATGGTGCTGCTGAACTAGAAACCCGGCATTTCTCTTAACCCGAACATCACTTTAATATTATTATATTGAATGATTCTTACCTTGAGGGTGGTGTAGGTGAGCTTCAGATCTGAAGGAGGAACCTTCAGCAGTCTGTTCAGGAGTCCCTTCACCTTCTGAACTTCCATGGAGTCTGCAGAGCAAAACATACAATTAACTCAACTGGAAAATATTTTTTATTTCAGTTTAATATGTTTTTTTTAACCTTATTTTCTGTTGTTTTACCTGGAAGTTTCTTCTCAATCGGCTTCCGGTCGGGGTGATCAGGAAACACAAATGTAATCTCTAGTGAGGAGTAAAAAAAAAAGACAGTGGTCAGAAAATATCACCTTTCCTTTAGTGGGTTTCCTCGGTTGGGACTAAAGTGTGTTTATCAATGGCCTGTAGGGTATTAGCCAATCAGAGAGCAGAGAGAGGCAGGACTTACTTAACAGCTGGTTCTTCAGAGCTAACGGGACCCACTTCTTCAGCAGGCCTTCGTCTGGAGCGCCATACTCTGAAACACAAGAGGATCTTCATCATTATCATCAACATCATCGCTTAAAGGAGACGTCCAAACAGTAAGTTAGTACCTAATGTCCCATAGTAGTGAGGTGGTAAGATCAAAAACTGCTGATTGGAATCAAAGCATTTAATTTCCTAAAAGGTTCGTGGAGGAAAAAACATTTTTGAAACAGTTCTGGTGTCTTTGACCCAATGAGCATGCGTACTTGAGTCTCC